ACAATATTTGAGGTAACTAGAAATCATAACCCAATGACTGACTGACTGACAGTTTTGCCATTGGCGCCAACTGTACCCAAGGGAGCTGATGCGGCCTCCGTTATTTATTTCAGTTTTATTCAAAATAATTGATGAGCGCTTAATAAAAACCAACGTCTCGTATAATTCCTAAGAATTCGGCAGTGGTGCGTGCAATGAGCAGACTTTTTCCGCAGACGGGGGCGTGACTTCCACAGGCTTTCTGCTTGGCTGGGGGCCTGGGAATCGCCCTGGACGGGATCCCATCTCACAGCTCCGTAGCACTTAATATTCATGAATAAAAATGTTCGCTCCTCGCCTGGTTTGGGGGGCAATTCATGACATCCGGCCCAGATATGGAAATGGATATATCCATATACGAGATCAGCACACATGTACAGCTCCGAATTTGTGTCGTCTCCGCGCCTGACTCTGCTAATTGGACTGTCAGTTTGGAGTTGCCTTTGTTGCCGCGCTTTTAACTGGCATAAATTTCACTTTGGTTAGCATTGACCAAATACGGGGAAAAGGCCCACTGAAACTGGGACTGGGACTGATCTGAGGAGCACGTGAGCGGGGAGCTGAGAGATACCAAATTACACTGCCATAAACTGGGCGTCAACTAGAAGATTCCAGTTACCTTAACCTGTTAATAAGTTTGCCTCTGAAGTCTAGCCTCAACACAAAACATGTAAGTCCACCTGGCGACTGGTTTTGTTAATAAATATTAATTCATAGTTTAGGCTTTTAAAGTGTCTTATTATACCCTTTCGAGGGTATTATAGGTATAGTCAGAAGCTTGTAAAGCTGTGAAGGAGTCTTTTCCGACCCTATAAATCATATATATTCTTGATCAGTTTCAACAGCCAAATCGAATTAGCCATGTCCGGTCGAAAAATAAATTTTTAAATTTGTTCAAAATTTGAAAATTTTATAAGGGGTAACATCATTAAAATTTGCAAAAATTTGAAAATATTTTAATTTTCTTACATTAAAAATTGAGTATGCAGATTTATTAACGTAATAAAAACTAGCAAAGAAAAGCTATCCGAAATGAAATTAATGAATTTTTGGCTTAGTTATGAGGTTCTTAAACTTTGATTTTCAATTTAAAATATTGATAAATATTATTTCAAAGCATCCGAATATTATTATCATAGCAACGATATATTTATTATTCTATTTTATAATTTCCAAAGTAATTAATTTTTTATTTTAATTTCTAATACAACAGTAAACAGTTTTTCTTATGTAAATAATAAAAATTATAATAATAAGAACATATTATTGAAAGCTTATTGAACTCAGTAGTTAAAATAAAAATGAGTTCAATAAATGTATTTATTTAAAAAATCAACTGATTATTGATACATGTGATAGTTAAAAGAAATTACGATAAATTTCTCCTGTTTCCCAGAAATCGCAATGGCCAACAACTCGTTGTAACGTTTTCGCAAGTTTTATCTATAAATATATATTTATAAGGCCATAACTTTTCTTGGCAGTGTAATGACACCCATAAATATTTATAAATATGTATAAATTTAATTTCAATTGATGTATTTTCTTGCATCCTTTCGCAAATCATCTAATATGCATAGCTCTCCCCGTGTACACATCCGAAAAAACGTTTTGACCCACGCCTCAGTGCCGCGGCACAGTTGTTAATTAAGTGCCATTAACTGAAGGATATAAACGCAATTAGCGCCGAATGGATCTCAAGCAAATCGGAGAGTGCCCCACCGAGGCCCGGCCTCGTAGATACACTGTATCCTACAGATGTCACTGCGGATACACTCGCACACCCCCGTAAACACGGACGGCGCTGCTGCTGATGTGGCATGGCTGCCCCGCCGGCTGCTTAATTAGTCTGCAGCCCCATAATCCCAGCCTCCCCCGTCGCCATCTCCGCCATATCTGGGGTCCCAACTCATTTAAGTCGCATTTAATAAAATCAAAATCCATTATGCGTAATTTTGATTAAAACATTGCCTTGCCGGGGGCTACCAGAGAGTGCTCATTAAATTGTCACGCATGTTGTGCGTTCATCCCGCCGCAAAACGATGGATCCTAGACGGACGGGGGCGGCTGCCCGCGCGGAGGCGGGGCGTGGCAGCGACGGTGGCACTTTGATGTGTCGCCTTCGCCCGAACGGGCCGCCAAACGTTGACACTTGCCTGACATGCCGGTTGACAGTTTGCATGGCGGCATGACACTCTTCACACGTTTGCTGATTTTTCATAATATTCCAACGCATCCGAAGCGTCCCAGCCCTAAAATACACTGAGAAAATAAGTATCACAAATCGAATTAATAGGTATTAATTGTAGATTTGCCAGAGTCCTGCTCGATATTGCACATCTATATATATATATATATATGTCAAATAAAATATTTATAAATTAGTTTTCAATTAAGAAACCAATGTTTTCTGAATTGAATCTATTGAATTAACTAAATAGAAATAGGACCTTCTCCTGGGGAATTCCTGGATATCTTCAAGAGAATATAACCACCGGAGATAAAGATGTTCAATATTTTTTCTATGGCTACATAAACTCAAATTTCTTCAAGACTGATGTACGCTTACATCAACATGAATTTTCTCTGTGCTTCTACACCCCTTGGCCGGATTTTCCCCTTTCCCCATATCCTTCCCAGCCCGCTCGTTCTGATTGGTTTGCGTTTCGCTGGCACCGTCACCTCAATCTATTTCCAACATCTGTCGGGGTGGCAATGGGACGTAGGGAGAGGGCATTCTGTAAAGCGATTTAATTTAATTTTTATTGTTGACATAAACGTAATTGTCAGACCATTTATCCGCATTAAGTGTTGTGATGCGTAAGGATAACAACAGCGCACAGCGGCAACACCAACAATGACTATGACAATAATAAGAGTGGCAACAACAGAACAAACATGGCGCCGAATCGAACACAGTGGGGCAATGTGTCAAGTCTTGGGAAAATCAAATATTTAAAAATATATCCAAGTTGAGAAAAGGAATATGTATATATACATCCTTTCATGTCAGAAGCTTGTAATGTTATGAAGGAGTCATTTCCGACCCTATAAAGTATACATATATATTATTGATCAGTAAATGTTAAATTGAGTATTCAGATTTTTTAACCTAATAAAAACTAGCATAGGAATGCTTTCCGAATTGAAATCAATGCATTTTTGGCTTAGTTATGCGTTTTTTAAACTTTGTTTTGTCGAAAAAATTGTCTTATAAAAATATCTTCTTCTATCTATTTAAAGAAAGTGAATACATTAAGCATAGTTATGATCAATTTATTGCTTTAAAGTATGCAAAGATTGTTGAAATATTTATAATTAATAACAATATATACTTTTTTAGACCTTACTCCATCTAAAATATCAAACAAATAAGTACCACTGTATCAATTTCGGTTACTGGACACGTTAGTGGCGTGAACGTAAATATTTACAATTTCGCACACCGTAAAATGAGTTTAACTTTATCTGTCTTTGTGGTTGTTTACCAGATGCGAGCTCCGAAAATATTTTCGTTTGCTTTCGCTGGTTATTTATATGCAAGTCAGGTCCTGGCCGAACATAATGGCGTCAGGAGCGATTCCGGTCGGTCCCATCATCGCATCAATCGCCTCACTGGACACTAATGGAAAAATCCAACGAACCCCGGGTCCGAAGTCCGAAGGCCAAGCCACCCCTTTTGTGACTGGGCCTGTTCCTCGACTGGTGGTGGATGATTTAACAGGCGGCTTGAAAATGGCTTAAAGAGGCTTTAAGCGAACAATAAACAACAACAACACACACACATAACACATGAGTCTGACATTCGCCATATTTATCGATCGAATCCAACCCAATCGAATCATTAAATTGGATCATTTTTTTGTTCGCTGCCAACTTATTTGTTTTAATTTGCAATTTGGCGGGCCGCCACATGCTGAGTTTTGAATTTCCGCTGGGCGCGGCACGTGGCATTGTTTGTGATACCGCGGGAATAAAATGGAATGGGCCTGACTCATGTTACACACACATATCGACACATATGGGGAGAGCTATTTGAGCCCCTAAACGATTCGCGTAATTACTGGTATGCAAAGTTTCCTTGGCCTCTAATGATGATGTAATCGCATAGGCAACTCATTATGTAAAGATCATTTACCAGTGCCTTGCCATTGCCTGGTGAGTTGCCTATATTAAAATCTAATTACACGCAAATCGCCTGCGTTTGTCTGAGCATGGGGAGTACAATAGGCCCGAAGTTGGCCCTTAATAAAGTCTCAAATAATGCTTATAATGAGGGGTTTTGGGAGGAAACCCTAGGCTTGATTTCAGAACATATTATTTCTGACTTAAAGCTACAAATGAGATGGAAAATAAGGTCGTAATGTGGGTGGCTTACAACACAGCAAGTAAGCACTTATATTAAACAAAATGGATGCCAAATGAGGCAAGGAAGGGTCCGAAAGTCTCTCTCTCTCTCTGTGTGGTCGCCCTTTATTTGTGGGGCGTTGCCTTAAGTTCGGAACAACGTGGCGTATAATTAATATATTGTACACGCGCTGCAAACGAATGCTTCTCTATATAAATCCATATTTCATTTCTTTGGTGTGCTGGCGTTAATTGCTCAAATTCGTTTTTTGAACAGTCTTGGACTGGACTTTCTCAGGTCATCACCCCACCACCACCAGCACCACCAGAAAGGGGGGTGAGAGCTCGCGTCAAAAGCGGAAATTTGTTTATAATCGCTGTTGGCGTGTGGTAGTAGAGTCCCAGAAACGGCTATATTTAACCAAAGCCATATCAATTTCCTAAATGATTCCGTTGCGGGCCCTAAGCGCACCAATCAAGCCCGAAACCAAATTGATACATTTCCCCCGCTTCGACTCTGGTCTGGGTTCGTTTTCTTCATCATTTTTTTCTGGGGCTGTAACTTACTTCTGGGTGTTCCATCCATCGGCCATATGACATGCCACTTTCTTTGGTTCATTGTGTACGATGGCAGTGTTTTTAATTTGTGCGTTTCGTAATTTTCCCTGCCTTTCTTTAATAAATTTTTTATTGTTTGTTTGAGTGCCAGTGTTTGATGGCCATTGAGCACGCTCCGCTGGCATTGTAAAATGTATCTATTAGGCATTGTATCTATTAGTGCGCCCTTTCCATCTTCCTTTCATTCTTTCATCTTTTCTATTTTTGGCTGTTGGCCTTGGGTTATGGGGGAACCAAGGAAACCCTTTTGTTGACGGCCCATTGTTTTGATAAAGGATTTCATTGGTCTAATTGCCGGTGGCTCGGGTAAATTGCCGCTCGCAAACCGCAACGAAAATGCACACGGCCAGAGCATATGAGCGTCATTAGAAAATTGTTTTGCCAAATGGTTTTTAAATTGTTTATGCTCCTAATGCAGCCCAGCCGCTTTCTATTTGGCCACGAATCCGTCCCGGCCAACTGTTGTGCTTGCCAACCGCTCGGAATGAGTTAATCTCCCGACTTGTGGTTCCATTCCCGACAAATTTTTGGGCCAGTCGATCCAACAACTGCTAGGGATAGGATGCTATAGCTACACGGGGAGAATAAAGACACTTTTGGGTTGATATTGATGGGAAATTTCAGAGGAATATACCTGAGATATATTTTAATGAACACATAGATTGAATATTGTAGATAGTTTCTTATAATAATCAATTGTATTCTCTTCAATATTAATATGAAAGAGTATTGAATTTATGCTTCTAAGCCCAGTTCTGACTTCATGAAAAACATAGCCTACTTTTCAGCGATACACTCCTTGAGAGGCTTGAATAATAAATTAGTACGCAAGGAGGTGGAAAAGGCTTCTTATCTTACATTACATTATAAATTATTTGCTTTGGAATCATTCTATAGTTCACATCTATTTCTTTTTAAATTAATATTAATATTAACTATTTATTTCACGTGTATTCCAACAGTGTCATGATGCTGTCCTTGATTGGCATCAATTAGAGCGACTGATGCTTGGCAATTATCTATGTTTAGATCAACTGGTACCAGTTGAAGGATGTGCTAATCCACAACGACGCGGGCAGACTTAGCCGGTCCAAAACGTTCGTCACAGATGTTAATCAATTGCTGCTTATTCTTCTCATGAAATATATCTGCTGCCGGCCGTAAATACGTATATATATGTGAGATATGGTAAATCAAAAGCTTGACTCTCAGCGGGTTTTCTTAGTCATCAATTGGCCATAAAGATGGAATTTTGGAAAGTAATTCAATTAACTGTAAAAGCCGTCATTAAGGCCTATAAAGTGCCCTTAAACGAACAGTCAGCCCAGCAACCCACTGTAAGTAGCCTGGCGGAGACCCCATAAAACCGCACAACAAAGTCACAGTCACACCTCAAGGCGGTGAGATAAATCAGACAGAGAGAATCCATCGTTTCGCTTAGAGATGTGTGCGTGAAACATCAATTTTGCCCAAGAAAATTAGTGTAAAATAAGGGCAGAAAGCGAGCAATTATAGAAGTCTTTTGCTTAAATTTGTAACTTCAATTTATCTTATATTTCTAAGTCACTAAATATTACTATAAATATATTTCAAATTCTATTTTCAGTGACTCACGCATTCAGGCCAGGCTCCGGGCATGGCCAATTTTAATTACCAAAATTATGACAAAGTTGTTTATGGCATTTTAACGTGCGCTTTTTGGAAACACACTCGCCGGCACAAAATTTGTGTGGAAATTTATTGATTTTTAAGAGTCTCCGACAGGGTTGAGGCAATTTATGCGCATGTAGATCCGCTTAGTCGTTGTGCCCATCAATAAACAGAATTTGGAAGCCCATAAGCCCAGAGCGGACAACAAAAAAGCGCTAAACTGTTGCGGCTGCTGTGGGTTTTGATTGGTTTCTTCTTGGCTTCTTGGCTCCGCTGATGGCTTGTGGCCGGTGGCTACCGTTTTGTGGAGCTCCATTGCTCGAAGCACTGGTAATTTTCATAAGCCAAAAGATGTTTCCGATCGAGATCGACTCGGTCTTTTTCCCCTCCAAAAACACGACTTCATGATTTGGGGAACAAACGAAAATCATGACCGAGTTGCGGCTACATAAAATCGATTTAATCCTTGCCAGCCGCGCACGCTCTCCCAGATTAATTGCCCACAAGCAGATGAAGGATGGTATGGGCTGGCATGGGATCGGCTGGCATGGAGTTAAGAACCGAGATGGAGGAGAGAAATGGAGACCTACAGCAGCGCATCGAAGCGGGCAGAAGGCTCACACACATATATCTCAGAGGTATGTGAGGTATGCCAGAACAGAGAATCCAATAAAGCCGAAATTATCAATTTATTTCACGCCTCGAAATCACAACAGCCATGCAGGATTAGAGGCGGGGGCCATAAGGGCTGCTGCAAGGGAGATGCGCCTCGAGATCGGCGATTGAAGGCAACGGCTTAATTACGATTTGGGGGAGTTTCCAGCATACTGTGTGGCAGGGAGGCACAGACTGTGGGATCGGTAGGAAGTTGATGATAGTAGTGAGTAATGCACATGGGAAAGGCTTGAAAAGGATTGGAAAGGGTTCCTACTAATTAGAAAAATTGTACACAAAAATATATACAGACACTAGACTTTTATTAAATTCATTACTTGTTGAGCTTGTATAAAAATGGATAAGAATTATACAAATCATACTAAAATAATATAAAATAAACCTGGTAGATATTTAGATATTTGTTTATATCTTTTATATAATCCATTTAATTTATTCAAAACCTATAGCTAATAATATAGTTTACCACTAAATGTATAAGCTATTATTATTGTAAATATAGATTACTCGAGACTTCTAAGCTCTCACCGAATTAAATAAAAACATGGTTTCCTTGTAAGACTGTTCCCAATATCTCTATAAAACCATCTTCTAACACAATTTAATTCTCATTGAATTCCCTTTCGCTCAATTCAATGCCACCTAATGCCTTCTATCAATGACTTTTGAATGTTATTTTTCCGTTTTTGCAAAGCCCCTTCAATTCACCGCATCCCAAGATACACAATACGTCTGGTAGGTGTTAAGAAGGTGTTATCCTTTAGCGCCTTCGCTTTATCACTGACAATCGCAACAAAGGCCCAAAGGATCGCCCTTTCCCTTTGCGGCAACACACTCACATAATTGCAACCTTTTGGAACCTCAAATACAAAAGCGAATTTACAATGCCCGCAAGGATATAAGGGACAGCAAAAAAGGAAAAAGGGGCCCCCATAATGAATGAATTCCATTAAAGATTTATGCCAGTTTGATGATGCCGCACAAGGATGGCCAACGACGCCCCGACATCGTAGAGCGAAAGAGAGATGGAGCGGTTGTCTTGATTGAAGGTTGATTTGTTGCATTTAGTGGCTCGGTCTTGGACTGGTACCTGGTCGGTTGTTTTGATGAGATTAGCACACGTGTTGAACACACATGCCATTGTGCGATTGGACGGGATCCGGCCGACCCGATCGGATCCTGGGTGCGGTTTTCGTTTGCTGCGGAAGGCGTTGCAGCGGCGGCTTGAAAGGCCGTTAAATTTATTTTGACAAATGACATTTCAATCGCAATTGTCCGACCAGCATGTGGCCACAGATCCACTTCCATCATATCGTAATTCAAAATTGAAACGGCGCAATTCATTTGGCCAAATCAAACAAATCGTAAAAGGCAAGCAGTGCGCGAAAAAAAGAAGGAAACCAACAGCGAAACGTGATTGGAGCCACCTCAAGCTGACGCCACCAGGTCGGCACTGCCCCATCTCCAGCCGAAGCCCCGCTGGAACCGCCAATCTTTAGCCACCTTGTGGTCGGTCCCGCCAGAGATGATAATTTTAGCCTTTTTTGATTCATTTATGCCATAAGTTAATCCAATTAATCCTATTGATTTAATGTTTCAAGTGTACTTTAAATAATTAAGAAACAAACTGCTTTAGAACATAGCCAATGATAATAGTTAGCATCCCATTAGTTTATAAAATATTTTGTCATCTTATATAATATGATATAATGCTTACGAAAACAAATTATTACCAACGATTCACTATTAATATTGTATTTAAAGCATGGACCTAACTGACGATGTAATATTTGAATTAATGTAAGCATTTCGTTTTAGCTAGTGATTTTATTTAGTTAGTCACAAAAATACAATTCTAAAATTCCAAAGTATTACCCAGGCATCTTCTTCTTTCGCTGTCCACATTAAAAAATAAGATTGAATTAAATCCCACAATTTATTTTCATCAAAAAACCAACCAAGCTCGAAAAATAAGCCAACTGACCAACACTTCTATATACCAAACGGCCTACCAAGCTGTGTGGGGCCACAAAGTGATTTGATCTTTGCACCAAAGTGGTAATCCGCATCTAATAATGTGAAGCGCTGCATTCGGCGCACGATCTCCGGACCAGGATGGAGACCGAGTGGCTCCGAGGCAGAGAAGAGACCTCCCAGTCTGGCGGATCGCAGCCGACGCCGTGTGCAGCCCGAAAGTTGATTGGAGTCAACGATGGAGTTATTTGTACGATTGCCACGGCACTGGCACTGGCACTGGCACTAGCCTGGCTCTGGGTCTGACTTTGGCCTGGCTCTGGCAATGGCTCTGGCTGTGACTCTGGCTCTTTGGAGCCAACACTCTGGACTTTGGGCCATCTGCTGCTGATGGTGCTGATTCTGCCGCTTTTGTTGGCCGCGATCGGCGGTGGGGCACGTTGATTGTGTGGCGCGAATAACAACAAATTATATGCGTTGCGCATAATTGAGAAATATTGAGACATTATGCCCAAAAGAAGAAGCGGGTTTTGGGGGGAGGTAAGGTGGCTGGGGAAGGTGTGGAGGCAATTACAGACAAATCTCATCTCTGTTTCTAATTGCAACTGGAGCTGAAAATAAAGTTTGCTGGTTCATCACAGCCCCAATACTATTTCTAGAGAAAGAATATAAGATTACACTGCAGGAAACTGATTGGTAAATTAAGTAACTTAATAAGTAATAATCGAAAAATTAAATGTAATATATGTTGAGGTTGTTTTGTGGCTATTTAGTTATAATTCTCAACTGTTTAAACGTGAAAGTAATAACATAATAATTAAAAAATTATTTAAAAGATAGTTGGAAAGAAATCGAGAAAATTGTAAAGACCAAATGGTGTCAAAAATTATGCTAAAAAAGGTAAGAAGCTATCTTCGGGGAACCAGAAATTTATAAATAACCTTGCAGAGAAAAATCTCAGAACTAAGTCAAAAATGCATTAATTTCCAATCGGAAAGGTTTCCTATGTTAGTTTCTATTAGGTTAACAAATCTGCATACTTAATTTAAAAATTCAATTTTTTGACAATTTTTGAAAATTTTAAAGATGTAACCCCTTATAAAATTTTCAAATTTTGAACAAATTTCAAAAATTTCTTTTTCGACAGGACATGGCTAGATCGACTCGGAAGTTGATTCTGATCAAAAATATATGTGCTTTATAGGGTCGGAAACGACTCCTTCAGTAAATTTTAAGGTTCTGACTAAAATTATAAAATCCTGCAGGGATTTACAAATGATATACATATATAGTAAAAATTCGTACTGATGTCTTGGAGCATCCCTTAGGAACTCTTTTACTTTATTCTTGATTATTTAAACAACTATTTGTAGCAGTGTAAGATCGCGATGGCAAGAAAGTAAGAGAACGGTGATTTTATTTCATAGATAAATCGC